CTGTCATCTCCATTTTCTGCCCGCAAATTTGACTCAGATAATTGGATAATCTATCCAGCAGTACGTGCTGCATGATTGGCTACCGTTGACCTGCCCGGATTGAGTGTGGCATGCGGCTGTGGCATGTGGCCGTGGCATGCTGCAAAAGCGGGATTGAGACGGCGTTCGGGCGAGCCCTCCTGCTTTTGGGTATCATTTGCCGCTGCAGCAATATGACCTTCGAGACTTCTAAATGTCAAGGAAAACGATCGTATGTCCAGCACTAGCGATACTATTTGTCATATTATGTATAAGCTATGTCAAGTAAAAATAAAGTTATTTGCTGCTTATAATAATAGTCAGTTATTGCACCGTTGCCTGACACCTCCAGAGATGTGAGTGTGACCCCCCCCACTAGCATACTGTCCCACTTGTCCCTGGAATAAGTTCCAGGCTGACGGCAATCCTGTACCGGGTAAACGGTTATGGATGGATGGACGTGTTTATGTTTCACAGCTTTTTTTGGAAGCACTCGTTTTGTCATTGCTTATGAATGTTTTTGTCAGTTTTTTTTTTTCCCCATGTATAATGATGTATAGGCAATTTGGCCTGGACATCATTTGTTTTCCTAAAACAGATGGTCTTACTTAAAAGGAAACAAAAAATACTAATGAAAATGGGGGATGTGTACAACTACAGGCGTGTTGTGAGACAAATTCTTTGATTCTCCGTGTCTTCTTTGACTCCCCTGCTGCTACTTATGCATTTGAGGCCCGCGATACAGGGTGACGGTAAGTGTCGATTCTCAAAACCGCCGCAGTGAGGTCAAGGTGGATGAAGTGCTTTGATCGGAAAGTGTGTCGCCCGCGGTAATCGAAGCGGCCAGGAAGAGTTACATTCGGCTCAAAGAGGACACACTCTCTCTGGCGATGAGGTTTCCGAAGGAGGACCGCGACATTTCCCGTGTTGCTGATGTTAGGATTCTGTCTTATTTTATCGTAAACGGGAAGAGAGCAGTTTTCATGGCAGATTAAGCTTCCACGTGGCCCTGCCTTAATGGTGAAGGGCTATCAGACTGAACTGGTACACAGTGAGTCTCACACTGGCTTCCTCTGCTGACTTGATGAACCATCTCATGCATTCTGACACGGACGGTTGAACAAAAGCAGGAGCTAAATAAACGTAAAATCCCGCGCCTTCCGTGTCACTTCACTGGTGTGGCTTTGCTTTAAGAGTTTGCGCTCCGGGGGCCATATTTTACGCGTCGTCTCTGTGTTTATACAGATTTTCGGTGAACCGGTGACTTTAAATTGCCAGGGAGGAATGCCTGTGTGGATGAGTACGGCTATCCTGTCTGGGTTTGTACCCAGGCCTTGATCCTCGCGCTCCCCTGGATTTCATCGGGATGAATATTGGATACGGGGCGTGTTAAAAATGTATGGGAGCGTAATGGATTCATGAATTATATCAGTGCCAACTGAAATGTCTGCGGCGAAATGGGCGCCGGAAGAGCACAGCATTCAGATGCGTCCCCGTCAAACGCAGACGGCCCCAAATAGCCGCATCCATCATCCGGAATTTATCGGAGACCCTGACGTTAATGTTGCGACCGCCGCACGTTTCGGTCCATTGTCCCATTTTCCCGGGGCGTTGCTGGCGAGGGCGATTGACAGCTACGTGCCACATGCTCACACGCCGGCGTCCTCGTCATCGGGATGCCACCAGCATCTCTAAACGTGCCCATTAAGGTCTGCCGTGCCCCACAAAAATACAGCGTGCGACATTTCCGCGCTTAGTGGGCGATTTGAACTCCTTTATTGAACAAGGTGTCATTCGCTCAGATTTATTGCCTCTAACAAACGTATCCTCTGACATCTGTAACCGAAAATGGATTTTATTTTTAAAAAATATATAATAAATGGCCAAACGTTTTGCTGATTCCTGACCCACTGATGAAGTTGGCCAAGGACGACCACACGACCCAGGACAGGTCCAGGGATGGAAGTGTTTCATGTTTTATTGGCACGACAGCTAGTCGATGAAAACGGGAAGTGGAGAGCCTTATTCTGAATGGATGCAGTTTTCCTACCTGCTTCTCGCTTATCGGCCTTTAGGATTCCCCTCCCAGAGCTATTATTAGGCAGAGAAGAACGTGCCAGAGATAATATTTCATTGTACGTGTTATTTTTTTACCTTGTTTTTATGCCGAAATGAAGCAATCTTGCTGCAGTGTAACAGTAGTGCAGTGTGACAGTAGTGCAGTGTGACAGTAGTGCAGTGTAACAGTATTGCAGTGTGACAGTAGTGCAGTGTAACAGTAGTGCAGTGTGCTGTACAGTGTAGCAAATCTCTCATTTTAAAGACTTGTGCATTTTTGAGAGAAAAAAGTAATCTGAAAAGGTGTTTTTTAATGTTCTAATTATGGTTGTTTTAGTTAAAATCACTATTTGATTTTTTTTTAGCTTGTATTTCAACATGCAATAACCCTATTTACATTTTTGGTTGTCTGTTATAGTGTGGAGCTTTCAGCATGAGTCAATCCTTCACCCCCTCAGCCACAAATAAACTCCTAATTTTTCTCTGACCGGTCACAAAAATCAACAGGCTACTCAGATTTATTACTTTTTCAATAAATCTGATTGGCAGTCATGTATATTGGCACTTTAATTTTCCTGTTAGGTGCAGGATTTAATTACCAGGAAAGGAAAAATTGCCTTATTAATGGAATTGTTAATCTCTTGTGAAAATACAAATCTAGTCTTAACAATCGGAAGAGCAGAGTGCACATAGATAGCTTATTGTCCCTCTCCCACTGAAATGTTTTGTGCTTGCATACATTACTATGTTCTGTTTAAATTATTCATGGGAAATATGGTTTTATGTAGGGTGATTGCCATTCTGGCCTCCCACCAGCAGGGTGTACTATTCAGTGCATGCATGTAGAATTTGTGTGCTCTTCCTTTGTATGTGTCATACTCTGCTTTCTTTCTGCAGTCCAAACAAATGCAGTTAGATGAACTGGTGGCAGTGGCAGATTATCTGTACAAATGGACCATGCCTCCCTTTCCAAATTCACACCTAGTGCCTAGCTATGCCAGTAACAGCAGCTGCAGATGATGAAATTTAAGTAGCTTCCAAATATCATACCCATCATGCACTGCAGTTGTTAGCGAATTCCACAAACATGCTTTATTCGTTAAATACACGCCTCGACAACGTAGTTTGACTACAAAAACTTACAAACTACTACATTTCAAAAAAAAATAATTTAAGTATTGTGTCAATTTTTTTTGTGTTGACTTCCACCATAATGAGATTTTATACATACAAATGGGAGATATAAATATAGCGTGTCACAAGTTCATATAATACTGTATGCATGATGTCAGCACCCTAATCTTCACTAATGTTTCCCATATATGTGAGATTCTGCAAGCGGAGGGGGGCCCGGCTGCATTGCCTATCAGTCTACCCCTGATCCTAGGGTCGGCTCCTGAGTCCCCACAGCCTTGTACTGGATAAGCGGTTATGCACAATGGCATGTGTATCCTCGGGTTGATGAATACGGTTTGAAATGATACTTCCTGACTATCCTGTCACTGCCTTTCTTGTTGCGTATTCATTCTGGAGGCTTAAATGGCATGTATTTTATGGGTTGTACATTTCTGGCTAAGCATTAGTAAACAGTTGAGAAAATATTGACAAAGAGAATGGTTATTGACTCTCCAATGTCCAAAGGTCTCCATCAAAGGCCACAAGAATATGACCCATCTGTCTGCTCAGAGCCCTGCCGTTTTTTTTACATTAATGATAACTCTTAAATGTCATTGTATATCAGCTTTATCTCAGACAGATGACAGGGTAGAATTAAAACGTCTCGCTCTTGATCGACTAGTGCAGCAATTTGGCGAACCCTGTTTGGTTTCTGCTCCAGCTTGCAATCTAAGTCACATGTCAGAGGCTCCGGAGCTCCCACCATTACCCAGGAATGTCTGTCTGCGTGATTCATCTCGCACAATTTGGCACAGTCCTTGAGAGAGATAGGGCTGAGCAGCGAGTTATGTCGGATTTCTACCCTCGACTTTACATCTCCAGTAATGCAGTCTATAGGACTGTAATACTGAGGGATGGGGTTGATGTTACCATGGTTACTATTTCATAGAATAAAGCTTTTGCAGTCCAGTGCCACAGTCATGGGCACATAGACTCGCAATGTTGTGTTTTCATGACAATACTCGACATGCTTTTAAACGCAGTGATCCTTCAGTCAATTCATACCAGCACGCCCAACGTCTGAAATGTCAGTGTCAATGTCCTGTAATCTCAGTGTGCCTTTCTTTGAAGTATCACTGTTATTATAAAAAAGGACAAAGGCATTTTAAAATATATAGTGGGTCGTAAAAGCCCTTGGAAAGACTTAAAGAAGTGCATGCATACTGACCCTTCTGTTTTGACATCGTACCCATTCCGTCAGCCTGACACAGGTGCCTTACAACTGACTCTTTGTCCCTTCATGTACCTGGAAATATGATACGTGATGCGGCTCAGGTGAGGATTACCTCAAGGGCTCTCCTTAGACTGGCACAGTGGCCAGTGATCCAAATCTTAAATCTTTACACCTTGGCCTTACCGATTACCTGCTATTCTGTACCTTATGTCAATGTTGAAACAAGTGGTAGATTAACTAAGTATTTACCAAGTGTTAATAACAAATTTTGGTTACTTAAATGCAGAGCGTACAAATGCAGGTCCAGAGAGTACAAATCCAGACCAGGATTTTGTTTCAACCAACCAGTTGAGTACTCTGTGACTGAGACTCTTTATACTCTACTGGTTGGTTGAAACAAAATCCTGGTCTGGATTTGTACTCTCTGGACCTGAAATCTCCACCTCTACTTAAATGTTGGAATGCAGTTTCACAAGTGTGTCAAAGTGGGAGGAGCATGTAGTGAATGGGCGCTGTTACTGCCACCTGGTGGCAGAGCAAAGTCATTGACAATGTGTGTACCTCTGGCCCGTAGCCTTCAGCCGAGCACCCATCCCCATGGCCGTGGTGCGGAGGGAGCTGTCCTGCGAGAGCTACCCCATCGAGCTACGCTGCCCGGGCACCGATGTCATCATGATCGAGAGCGCCAACTACGGGCGGACGGACGACAAAATCTGCGACGCCGACCCGGTCCAGATGGAGAACACGCGGTGCTATCTGCCTGACGCGTATAAGATCATGTCCCAGCGGTAAGAAAATTCAGTCGCTAAATCTTTATCGACATATTTTTTCCGAATAGCATCGCTACAGTTAATTCGTATTAAAACAAACAAAAAAATAAGGAAGCTTTATGAACAACTCCCAGAATCCCAAGTGTATTTAAAGGCACAGATCACAGATTACATTTGCAAATGGAATTATGGGGGTCAATGATGTAGGTGGGGGCTGGAGACTATGGTAGAGTGATCGCATCATTGGACACAGGACAGTGGGCTAACACTGACCTTTTACATTTCATTCGCATGGATAACAGTCCTATCTGGAGTGCCTCATTTGGCCTGCCTGAGCAAATGCAGAAAACTAGAACTGACATTAAATTGTCCATTAGTCTAGCTGGTGGTGGAAATAGAAGAGCAGTCCTACTTCAAGTGACAGGTTGTCAGAATTTTGGACGGCCGTATGACACGACGCTGTATTTAAAATGGATATTCTGAAGCAAAGAACAATCGAGAGAGAGAGAGTGTTAGCTACAACTGTAAATGGAATGCATTTATGAAGGTCTTCACCTATTACAATTAAGTGAAAGCTGTGAAGAATTATTTATTGATTTTATTCCTGAGAAATTACAAAACGTTGCTTGCAGGTTTAATACCTCTGGGTGTCACACGTGTAAATAAATATTAACAAGAGTCTGTCATGTATTATGTATTTTTTTTTTTTTTTACCTCGCGGATAGCTTCGATACAGCATAGCTATTTACTTTAAGGAAGCCATAGTTCCGTAGCTCCTTGGGTCTGGTTTTTTACAGGGCAGTGGTTATGCAGTCAGACCAGCAGGGGTTTCTTATGATGAGTCACTCGCTATATGTTTAAAATACGGACACCCCGTTGTGTACGCCTGCGACTTTACAAAGGATTACACAACTATTCTGCTCATTCTCAAAGGATGACAGTTAATTAGTTCAACTGAATTATTAAGACCAGTCAGGTCATTATTTAAGGTGCCTTTAATAGCCATGATAAAATTGCCTTTTTAAACCCAGAATGCTGTAATTATACCAAAATCAATTAAAGGGCAGAATATAAATGCTTTTATTTTACAGCCATTCTTTGAAATTATAGATTCTTTTATTAATATTTTTATGTGTGCAATATCAGTACTATGTTTCCTTATTTGACTCAAATCATATAAAGATGAAGGAATATATTACCTATTAAACATATTTTATTAACAAATTTTAAAGTTTAAGTGGCCTGCAGAATCTTTCAGTTTATAAAATGCTGTGCATATTTGAATCAGGCATTTAATATTTAATATGTGAGCATTTGGTTCTCACCAGTTTATCATCAGTAAATTATAAATGTGTCCAATGCAATCCATGGGGAGTATGAATGCATTTGTCACGCAACATAACTCTCACAATATTCGTGCGGTGATTTTTATCACACACCACCGTCATTGTCCGATCTTTTGCCCCTTTTCCATTTGCAGCACCTCCCGCGCTGATATAGTATAGTATACCTATACGTACCCAGATAAATCAAAGTCACAATGTGGTTATGCAGTCAGACGTCCGTATTTACCCCATCGGTGCCCGGACAGGGGATCCTGGCACCAATCGTAATTGAGCGGGGCGGAAAACCAGCACGTCTTTGTGCCGGGGTTAAATCTCTGCGGACGAAAACTTGATGCTGCAGCAGCCTGAGCCGCCGCTCGAGCGGCTCCTTCTCTCGGCGGCGCGCCGCAAGACAAACAGGCGGAGTTTTCCAGCGGGCGGAACGGGCACGCGCAGGACAGCGCGGTCAGTCTGTAACGGGCATGCGCTGGACAGCGCGGTCAGTCTGTAATGGGCACGCGCAGGACAGCGCGGTCAGTCTGTAACGGGCACGCGCAGGACAACGCAGCCGGCGGCTTTATGTGACGAGCACGCGCAGGAACCTGCCAGGTACCCCCCCCCCCCGTGCTTTGGGTGTTGGTGTGACAAACAACACCGCGGATGATAAAGCTGATACGAGGCCTTCCCTGACTTACCTCGTTTGCCTGTTTTAAACCTGGTTACGTCTTAAATTCTGGGCCAAATGTTGTTTAATGTATTAATGTTGCCGTAATATATTCTTAAAATAACAGCAAAAAATACCATAGTAGCTCATGAAAAATAAATACTGGTTTCTGAGTAAATGGAGTTTTATGTTGCGTGGTCCCGTTTTAGCTGTGGCGTTGGCCCGGCTGTTGTGCTATATCGACTGAAGTGCAGAATCCCAACCAAAATCCCAAAAGTTGAAATAAAGCCAGGAGCCCCATCGCTCAGCGTGGCTATAATGTATCATGTGCTAGAGCAGGCATAAAATACATTCCCAGATTTGTATGAAAAATCTAATAAAGCGTAATATACAGTAGATATAATGGACTGACTTTTATTCAGAATTAATTCTTCCATAATTCCACCACAGTGCAATCAATGTGAGCATTTCAGATGACTGATTATCATTCATTAAGGGGACCAGTGACTGGAGAGGATGGCATTCCACCGCGTTAATGTCACTCTTGCATTCTGCTCTCCGTCCCGGCCTGTCCCTGAACGTGGCAGCGTCAGACAATGGTTGCTGTGACGTCATCCCCCCCCCCCCCATGTTAGCATTTGCTGGGGCCGAGTCCTTAGGCCCTTAATCGCTGCACATTGCGTTAGATATCATAGATGCAGATCGTCAGGGTTCTGATAAGACCCCTCAGACTGCGTACAGTTGAGCTGGTAGTACGGATGCGGCTGCCCCTGGCATTCCTGGCACACTGCCCACGAAAGAGCAATGAAGTAATGTTTTGTCATTCAAGATCCATCACAACTTTTTGTTTCTCTAACCCATTATTTTTTTTTGTTGTCCAAAATAACTTTTTTTTTTTCCTTTTTTAAGAAAACAGAGTCAGCCAGTCCCTGGAGAAACTGGGGGTCAGGGGCCCCGCTCAGGGGCCCAGCAGTGACATCACGCTGCCTGCCTCAGGAATCTTGAATCTTGAATCTTGATTTGAACCGGCGAACTTTTGATCACAGGCGCAGAGTCGCAATTCGCTGATCAAACACCCCAAGTTTTCTTTTCTGTTTCCTCGGATTCTACACGCATTCTAAATATCAATGGGTGTGCAAGTCAGCCATTAAAGAATGCATGACACGGCACACAGACAGATAAAGTGATTCAGGTATCTCATATCATTATGCCTGGAATCCTTCTGATCTGTATGACTCTTGAATATAGAATGTATTTTTCTAGCCCTCATCCATCAGAAAGCAGTTGTAAGTATAAAGTTCTCGGTAATGTTGAACATCCTGAAAAGTTTACTGACAGCTCGTTCCATTCAGCGGACCAAGAGCTTTCGGGGAGGACATTTGAACTAAATCAGCCTGACACAGAGAGAGTAGCGCAAGATCTAAGCGAGTGGACCCCGCATTTTTCATTAGATAGCAGAGGGATCAACGATGTTCGCGGATTTCGGAAAACGTTACTTGATCGCCTGACCAAATAAACATTTTGAAGATGGTAAAAAATATCATGGTTTTAATCATTTGCTGGCGATATGTATTATTTGTGCTAACTATTTTTTTCTTTTTAGATATAAGATAAATGGTGAGCTTTAGCTACAGAGGCGGCTTTTATTGAGAAATGTTAGCGGTGGCAATACTGGAGAGTTTGTGAATTGTGCTAAGGGTTAAGTGCCATGCAGACGTCTTCCTTCAGCTCCGGGACGGGAGGTTATTCCGCTGCTAGACCGATCGTGTCACCGGGGCTGAGGTTTTGTGATGAACAACTCCGAAAAAAGAGGAAAACAAAGAAGGACGAGACCATGGAAGGATGATCAGAGAGGTTCAGAGGGAGGGAAGGAATGAAAGATGAACTGAGTAGAAATGAGGAGGTCAGATTTGGATGGCCATTTGGGGGGGGGAGGGTTGCAGTAAGCTAATAATGACAAGGCCCACTCGCACGCCAGCAGGCAGAGAGAGAAAATCCTTTGTTTTGCACCCAGAACTAAGCCGGTGTGTCCGTTTTTGGTCAGACGCCATGCCGGGCGATAACCCTCTCCAGAAGACCAGATAAGTGAGATCAGCTCCGGCCCTGCCGGAGATGCTCAGGGCTGGATGGAGGACCTGGCTCTGCTCCCAAGCTTTCTCCTCTGATTACTCTGTCCTGTTATCTCGCCCGTCTCCCTCTGCCGCCTTTATAAAACTTTAAGCCTCCGCAATTAAACTTTCGGAGCTTGCTAGGTCACGTAACAAATTTTAAATAAAAAATATGCACGTCTAAGACTGAGAGAGACTTAAATATTGCCTCTGCTTTCTGTCTCGACTGTTCATGTGCTCTCTAACATAAACAGTTATTTTTTATTAGCATTATCTTTATCTTATTTATCTTTTTCGAAGACACATGAAAGGACGCTTAAAATTTCTCCACAGGATACAGGCCTGACATACTGTACCTCTGCCCTGCTAATTGCTGAGGATGGCTACCTCAGTCTATTAGGCTTCACAGCTATGGGCCATTTCTGGGTTTTTTGTTGACATTCTGTACTTCAGAGGCTGAACAAACAAAGCTTTGATTTACTATAAAGAGGGGGGGGAAAAAAACACCGGACCGCACACGGACCTGTTTCAAAACTCTGCTCTGTGATGTCCGCTAAATGAATCGATGGATATGTCGTGTCAAACTGTGATGATTAGCGGCTGGAAATGGACCATGTCCAGGCATCGAGTCATGATGCCTAAATGAGAAATTATTGTCGGGGAAGGGTAGGCCGGGCTTTCGCTGTCATAACCGGCCAAGTTTCACCCCTTTATTGCGATGACGACAGGCAGAAAGTCTTCTGGGCAAAAAGCTCATATTTTTGCATGATGTGTTCAATTTTGATGTTATACTTAAGCTGTGGTGCTCATGAGATTTATCTGTTGCCATACAAAAGAAACCACATGCTCTTTTTGCGTGTCTACAAGAGTAAAAATAATGAAATAAAAACTTATACCAGGTGCAAGGATAAACTGGCATAT